CCTTCATATTTATTAATCCGTGGGCACGATTTGTTAAACCGAGGGAACAGTTTAAGAATTCGTGAGTACGGTTTATAAACTGAGGGGACAGATTGCAAAACCGTCGCCACGGATTGTTTTTTTTTCTCCTACAGGTGACTTCCCGGGCTCCGTAGTAATGTCCTCTATGCACATGATTTTTATAATGCAATTGTTACCGTAATGAGCTATTTCTACCTAATTTAACTTATAAAGATGTGTTTTGTTTGTGTAAATTAATGTATTATGTTTACTTCAGCATTATTTATTTAATTTAGGACCTTTTTTAAACCAAATAATTTAGATGTCACTCCTTTTAGTTTTCATGTCATAGCTGTATGCATATTTTAACATGGCTGGAATGATGTATCGACCAATCAGCATCCGGTATGATGCTATCTGTTTTACATTCAACTCAAGTTGCATTGCAGATGTTTTTTACTTTGCGCAGTTGTTTTTAAACTGCTGTTGGACAAGCTAGAGATCTAATCCAAAATGACAAAGTCACATTAATACGCTTTGTGTATATACATAAGACTTCATTTGTGGAAAATTGAACACGCACGCTGAATATATTTTATGTGACAGTATGTCAACACCCATGAAGCTCTGGAGTGTGAGCTAACGCAAAAAAAATGATTGTTTTCCTGCCAGGATTTTCCATTCTTCAAGCCATTATGGAGGCTGCGGTTGCAAACAACTGGCAAGTTACAGCGCGGTCGGTGGGCAGCATCACGGACCCCCAGGAGTTCCGGCGCATCATTGAGGAAATGGACAGGAGACAGGAGAAGCGCTTCCTCATCGACTGTGAAGTGGACAGAATCAATGTCATCTTGGAGCAGGTAAAGTCTGCATCTCCCCCCTGCCTGTTTCTTCGCTTTTCTGGCAGTCTGGCTGGTTTGACGTCTTTTCCCTACCCATAATGCCCTGCATCTGAAGACTCGTTCGTTTAGCAAGAATCCAGTCCCTGATTTATGAATATCCCTGAAGTCCATCAGTCTACTGTGTCGTTTCCACATGGATGACCTGACAGAGCTGTAGATGGGTTCTCTGAGCGTACAGTTAAACTGAATGGGTGAGCAGATATTTGAGCACGACTGTCCTCTTCTCTTTGGTCTCTAATAGATCGGCGCGGCTCTTTGATGTCTGTCTGTGAAAGGTAATCAGCCCCTGAATTGGAATGTCCTCGTTAATGCTACTTTAAATGTATTAGCTCCAGTAGCTCAATACCTCCTCATTGAATCTTTTGTTTCACTTGCTTTTATGAATCTGTTCTGCATCAAATTTTGATCCATAATATATATTTAGCATTAATTTACAATGGCCAGTATAATTCAGTTTTCTTTACTCTGGCAAATGATGTTGTCATTGCTGTATTCTTTGAAAAAGACTGCTACAAATCAATAGAGCGCAACAGTAACTACCTGATTTATTTTTATTTTTTTCTGCAGCCTGCGTTCTTGAAAGTATTTTCCCCATTCAGTTTCTCCATAGTGATTTCAGAAAATCTTTCAATAGAGTTCTAAGCCTCAAACCACAACAGCCAGCTTTGAGATGAATCGTAACTTTACAGCATATGCTTCAAAGAAAGACTGAATACATGTTTTATACATATAAATCTGTTGAGCATTTATAATTGATGTTAGTATAAAAGTTTATTGCAAAATATTATTTTAAAAGTAATAAAGTATGAGAAGATATTTTGAAAAATGTGAGTAATCAAACTGTTGCTAGTCCCTATTGACTTCCATAGTAATATATATATATATATATATAAACTATGGAGGCCAATGAGGACTAGCAAATGTTTGGTTACAACCATTCGTCAAAATATAATCTTTGTGTTCAGCAGAAGAAACTCATACAAGTTTGGAACAACTTGAAAGTGAGTATATGATAAGATGGGATGTTGTTTTGTTTTTTTTTTGTTCTGTTTTGTTTTTACTGAATTAAAATCTCACTGGTCCTCATCTCAAACCACAACAGCCAGCTTTGAGATGAATCGTAACTTTACAGCATATGCTTCAAAGAAAGACTGAATACATGTTTTATACATATAAATCTGTTGAGCATTTATAATTGATGTTAGTATAAAAGTTTATTGCAAAATATTATTTTAAAAGTAATAAAGTATGAGAAGATATTTTGAAAAATGTGAGTAATCAAACTGTTGCTAGTCCCTATTGACTTCCATAGTAATATATATATATATATATATAAACTATGGAGGCCAATGAGGACTAGCAAATGTTTGGTTACAACCATTCGTCAAAATATAATCTTTGTGTTCAGCAGAAGAAACTCATACAAGTTTGGAACAACTTGAAAGTGAGTATATGATAAGATGGGATGTTGTTTTGTTTTTTTTTTGTTCTGTTTTGTTTTTACTGAATTAAAATCTCACTGGTCCTCATTCATAAAACACAAGCACACTTTCATTTAAGGACCAGTTCTCACTATTAACTAGCTGTTTAATAGTATGCATATTACTAGCATATCGGCTGTTTACTAGTGCTTATAAAGCACATATTAATGTCTTACTCTGCATGACCATATTTTAGATCCCTTAACACTATCCCATACCAAATCTTAACAACTACTTTACTAAGTATTAATAAGCAGCAAATGAGGAGTTTATTCAGGCAAAAGTAGTAGTCAATAGTTAGTTACTAGTAAGAACTGGTCCCCAAACTAAAGTGTGACCAAACATTCTTACATAAATTGCCATGTCGATTAAAACATGAAAATATCTTGAGCTTATGTTCACTACAGACCTTATTTCAGGCATTTAACCCATTCAAAAACCTATCGATTTTAGGATGATGAAACTAGACGTGCTAAAATGCTCATTGCTAGATTTTGGCCTACACAAATCCCTGCAGCCCTCTACAGTATCTGCATTTATTCACAATGTGTCCTCTAAAACTTAATATATGTATTTTCAATAAGTCAGTTAAATATTTGTACCATGTCTTTGCCTCTGGCTGTACCTTTCCTTAACGTTGCAGCGGTTTAAGGGTGAAAACGAGCAGGCAGGAGAGGAATTAGGAAAATTACAGCGGGAATCTTATGTTATTGCCCCTGGGGACACATGTTTTTAATTCCCTTTTCCGACCTCAGCATGTATTGGCTAAACTGGATCTAATTGAACTAATCTCCCCGGCCCTGCTGACACTGATAGCCAAGATAAGTTTCTGGACCGCGGTCCTTCAGAGACCTGCAGCGAGACAGGAGAACCGCGCTATAGACTTCTGCTCACCATAATCCATCTGCATTTCGTGATCTCCAGCACAAACTGCGAATGGGAGCCGGCCTCCAGAGGGTTTCAACAGCTGAGTTAAGCTTCGCGAAGAGCAATGGTGACAGCTTTTACTGCCCTGCTATACTGAGTATGTCAACCCATCGCAATAATTTATAAGCAGTGCCCTTGCAGTGGGAGCGCGGAGGGGCTTGTGCCTTTTCAAGAGGAAAACTATCTTGTGATCTGGGGTTTACACTCAAGATGTGTCATTTTACTCTGTGAGAGCATGACGGCTTGTCATAAGCAGAGTGCCATTTCATGTGTCATGCTACTGTATGTGTGGATATGGTAAATAGCGCTGCAAAATGGTACAAAATGCCAATATCTGCTTTATGAAGGATTTGATGCAATCGCCGCAGTGTCTCTGTAATGACTGAATATGAACGTGCACATTGTTTGATGAGTCTCAGAGTGTTTTTGTTGGGGCATTGGCTCCACCTGGGCTTTCTGCACTGACGTTAAAGTAAAGAAATCAACCTGTCCATCTTAATCTAGGGGATATGGTGGGATGAATAAATGACATCTGGGACTAACTTTGAGATACAATGTGCAGCACTGACTAGAGAGCCGGGATGTGTCGGGAGCGTCGGAGGAACAATATTAAAATGCGTTGAGAGCCTGTGTTTCACTGAAGCCTTGCTAGATCTGCCACCATGAAGCATAAAGAATAGGTCTCTTCAGAGGATGGAGATGCACCTTTGAATACATTCAGTCTATGCATTTTGAGGTGATATGCCTGGCAAAAATCGATATACAGTTGAAGGCCAAATGGGAAATAAATATACAAAATCAGAATAAAATATAACAGAATATAATTTAAGAATCCTTAAAGAAGAAACATCTGAATATGTATTTATTTGATAAAATACAAATATATTTCTAAATTTATAGAATAGGTTCACTTGTTTCAACAAAATTGTTGTAATAAATCACACATTAAAATGTACAAAAAAAAATCATCATCGTACATGACTCATTAAGAACTGGTTTTGTGCCAACCCTGTTTCACAAAGAAATGTTTCAGGGTTGAATGTTGCATGAAGGTCAGTGTATAAATGGCTAATAACAAACTTAAAGGGATAGTTCACGCAAAATAATTTTCTCACCCTCATGTCATGACAGAATTCATTTTTGAGAGAGCGATCCCTTTAGCCCTGCAAACAGAAGCAGGCTGAGAAAGTACGACTCAAAATAAAACAATGCTCGAGGCTCATCTGAGGTAAATCCTAAAGACTGGGGCCTTAAAATCTCTTAAAAGCTCACAGGCTCTGGAGAGCGTTTAATGTGTCACTTTAACAATCTAATGGGATTAGGGAGGTAGAGTTGTACCGCAGGAGGCAAACAGAGTGAGACGGAATGAAACAGGATTCAGGAACAGGCAATAGTCAAACATAGTAAAGAGGGTAATCCGAAATCTTAATTAAAAATACTCTAACGGTGATCCACACACTCGTGTTTCTAGTTTTGATAGTCAAATATGCTCAAATTGCAGCTTCTGAATTTAGAGCCAGCCGTAATTCTTTCTTCAACCACAGAGACAAGAATATGGGAAGAACAAACAGCACAGAACAACATGTAAGTTGAGCTTAGACATTACTGAAACAACGGACAACTGTATAAACATTAAGAAAAGAATGACCCTGTAGCACCTTGGCAGTTGCTGCAAAAGTAAAAACACACATGAAATCTATTTCTGTCATGACAACCCTCGGAGGGATTGGCATGGTAATGTACATGACAATGTTAATGTATTTGGTCTTGGCGGAACAGATCTGCTACGCTGCTGCGGCAGAGCAAGTACCGAGGCACTAGTCATATATTTGAATGTTGAGCAGCGAGCTCATTGGCTACCGATACAGGATAGAACCAATAAGCTGTGCCATGTGATAATGATGTCATTAGGTCAGATTGAGTTAGACCTATCGGACTGCGCCATCTAGAGTTTCATGCCAGAACTCTGTATTTATATATCGGTTGTCTTTAGATGTAAATATTATTTGACTTTTGCCTCCACAGGCTTATTGAACATGCATGTTTGTGGCAAAGTAGCTGAAATGGACACTAGAGGCAGTAAAATTCCCACAACTTTTTATTCCTTTTCACACAAATTATGGTTAACAGGTTGAGGCTGATGATACACAGGGCAACTTTTTGAGCAATGTTGCCGGGCAACTTTGGTTAATGTTGCCGTCATTGTGCAACCAGGGGAGGCACAGGCCCACGACCGATCTAAAGTATCCAGATAGAAATGTGTTACCCATTCTCAGTGGGAAAGTGCCCAAGCAACACTGCTCAAAAAAAAGTTGCCTGGCAAAATGGCTCAAAATGTTGCCCCATGTATCATCAGCCTGAGAGTTTTGATTAAAGGGTCATGAAACCCCCCGTTTCAGCACTGGTTAGTTCTCACCACAGTTTTAAAAAATGCTAAAAAAGTGGGCGTGGTGCGCAGCGGAGGAGGGGGAAGAGGGGAGACAGAAAACACACACAGCTTCGCGTTCAGACAGTTTAATTTCACAGTTTGAAATGTCTGTCATAGCAAAT